GAGAAGCATTAAGCAATCACATTGCAGTCACATTTGACATCACAAGAGTTGGTGAGGTTATAAAAACCCAAACAAAGTCTAGGCGGAGTGGGCCTGGCAGGCTTAAATATGGCAATGGGAGCGGAGGACCTAAGGAGTTCCTTCAAGGAGGTGATCATGAAGGCAATGGAACAATGCGTACCATATAAAGCAAAGGTACCAAGCTTAAAGGCACTCCTGCCTGGTTGGACGTGGCTACAAAGTAAATCATAAAGAGGAAAATAAAAGCACTTAAGGCCATGAAGGAAAATGGCACGAAAACAAGTCATACTCAATACCAGAAGGCATGCCAACACTGTAAAAAAAAAGGCATCAGAATGGCAATGGAAAGCTTTGAATTAAACATGGCAAGAGATGCGAAGGATAATAAAATATTTTTTAGTTACAATAAGGGAAGAAACAGAATAGGGCCACTGAAGGTGAGTTCAGGAGACAACATGAGAAATAATGCTGCACAGGCTGCAATAGCCCTAAATAAGTTTTTTGCATCAGTCTTTACCCAGGAGATGGGTAATCTATCTGATCTGGAAAGAGAACTCAAGGATGTCGCAGAGAAAAGTTGTGACACTATTCATATCACTACCAGCATGGTTGCCAAACAGCCGTGTAAACTTAAGGTAAATAAATCTTGGGGGCCGGTTAATTTGCATCTGAGGATCCTTAAGGAACTAAGGGAGGAAGTCGCAGACACACTGGAGCAAATCTTTCAAAAATCACTGAATCCTGGAGAGGTGCCGGGGGCCTGGAGAAAGGCAGATGGGACTCTTATTTTTAAGAAAGGTATAACAAAAGTGAAAATCCAGAAGCATCTGGACAGAAATAAAATCCTAAATGATAGCCAATATGGGCTAATGAAGGGAAGGTCTTGACGGTGTAACAAGGGAGCTTGATAAGGCTGTGGATGTTGTATATCTGGATTTCAGTAAGGCCTTTGATACAGTTCCTCTTGAGAGGCTGGTACTGAAAGTAAAGAAAGCGGGAATCAGTGGAGTTATATTACAACGAATGCACAGTTGGTTGACCAGAAGAACCCAGAGGGTTTTGGTACAGGGAATGTCATCAGACTGGGAAAATGTTACCGGTGGAGTTCCACAAGGGACCTCTTTTGTTTTAATATTTTTATGAATGATCTGGAACTAGGAGTCGGAAGCACAGTGGCTACCTTTGCAGACGTGACCAAGCTAATGAAGGTGGTCGATTGCGAAGCTGATCAAGATAGGTTACAGGAGGATTTGAACATACTTGGGAATTGGGCAGACCGGTGGCAGATGAAATTCAATGAGGAGAAAAGTACTTCACATGGGGACAAAAAAAACCTGGAAGGGACTATTATTTGAACAGAAGGAAAATAATATGTATGGAAAATGAAAAGGACCTGGGGGTCCTGATTGACAGTAAATTGAAGCGCTCCCAACAATGATCTGTGGCAGTGAATAAAGCAAAACAGATCTTGGGATGTATCAAAAGATCAATAGCAGCCGAAATAGTGGGGTTATCCTTCCACTGTATAAATCATTGGTGAGACCATTCTTATTAGGGTACTGTGTACAGTTCTGGTCCCCGCAGTACAAAAAGGATTTTGGAGAAATCAAGATACAGAGGAGAGCAACAAAAATGATTGAGGGAACGGAAGGACTGGATTGTGAGGAGCTACTAAATAAATTGGGTATGTTCACGCTGGAAAAGAGAAGATTGAGAGACGATGTGATTGCTGCCTTTAAGAGGCAAAATATAGATCATGACAGGCTGCTTCAACTGGTCCAGCATAATAAAACCAGAGGAGAAGGCCTGCGATAGAGGGGGAGAAATTCAGCAAGAACCTATGCAAACACTAATTCAGTGAGCGAATAGTGAACCTGTGGAACAGCCTCCCTAGGGGACGGTTGAAGCAGGAAATGTTGATTCTTTCAAACACAAATAACATTATGGAATATAGCACATAGGGAGTTTGGGACATATGTGCATGCGACCACCCGGAAGGTGGACTAGATGTACCTTGGGCTTTCTTCGTCTCGCATTAATTATGTTCTTATGATGTGGAAACGTGCTGCCGAGTCAGGGGGGAGAGGCAGAGGCCATGGTGGGTTTCAAGAGGGAGGTAGAGACAGACAGAGAAAGAGACAGTCAGAAAATCAGGCAGACAGACGCCTCAAAGTAGTTTACAGGATATAATGCTAACAATCCAGTGCCTTTGTGGAATCCTGTAGCTCAGTGGTTAGAGCACTCGGCTCGCAAGTGAGAGGATCTGGGTTCAAATCCCAGGCAGGGTGAAACGTTGGGCAATTTTCCTTACTCGACACACCTGTTTACTTAGCAGTAAGTAGGAACCCGGTTGTTAGTCGATTGAAAGATCGCTTTTCCAACATTAATAATCCCATCAAAAAAAATTGTTTTCAAAAAAATTTTGGTCACTCAATTTACGACTGTTTGTGGGACACTGCTATACGCGATTGGCTGCCGTGTTTCGCCCCAAAAATATACAGTCACTACACTTTACAGTATATTCTGTGAAGCGCTCGAAGACGTGCTAAGGCGCTATATCAAATGCGAGGATTATTATTATTATCACGTCATTAAGTCGTCTCAAAGTGCTTCACAGAATATATTGTAATGTGGTGTAACTGTGTATTTTGTAGATGAACTGTGAAGGTTAGAGAATTGAAGGGTGTGTGAGGATCGTGCAGGGCGATGGGATTGAATGGATGGTTTGCTCTCAGAGCCAATGCGGACTCGATGGGTTGAATGGCCCGTTTCTGCGTGTAAATCTCCTATGATTCACATTGCCTCGATTGCAGCGACCGGTCGTGCAGTGGAGTGACTGTATTTGTAGGCACCACATCGCTGATGTCAAAGTCATTTTGGTGTAATTTCTTTTCGTTTCGTTCCCGTTTGAATAAGAGTACGATCTCTGTATTTTTCCATTGATTTGCATTAATCTACATGTTCGCACTGACCCAGCGAAGCTCGTGGCTAAATTTAACCTGCCTTCGCTTTGATCAGTGCAGTCCCTTTGACGGCAAATGTTCATCTCCTGACTCACACGGGCAGGACTTATCAAAGCAACGAGCAGTGAAAAGAGCCTTTACTCATATGCAAAATAAAAACTGCTGATTAAATTCAGTTTTTTTAATATAAAAAATTGCTACTTAATCCCAGCGTTTGATACAATACCTTGCCATCCAGATGTCTCTTCACACAACATGCTTTGAAGTGAGTGGCTCCTGTTTCAGCAATGTCCTGTGTGTGCCAACCTGTGAAAACCAATCAATCGGTTGATGTGGAGTCCTTTAGCTCAGTGTTAGAGCACTCGCCTCGCAAGCGAGAGGACCCGGGTTCCCAGGCAGGGCGAAACCTTAGGCAAGTTTCCTTACTCCTCGCGCCTCTGTTTACTTAGCAGTAACTAGGAACCCTGTTGCTAGTCGATTGGGTATCGGTTTTCCGGGGGTAATAATCCTTCCACAAAAAAAATTAAAATAATAATTTGGTCATTAATAATCTACGACTGTTTGTGGGACGCTGCTGTGCGCAATTGGCTGCCGCGTTTCGCCCATAAAATATACAGTCAATTCACTTTACAGTGTTTTCTGTGAAGAGCTTTGAGACGTCTCAGAGATGTGATAAGGCGCTATATCAAATGCCAGGATTATTATTAATATCATTGTAATTATTAAGGGAGGGATTCCTTCTCTTCAGCGCAATAGGAATCCTGTGGGATCTCTCAACACCTGACCCGGAAAATCAGCATCTCCGGCAATGCATGAGTCCCAGATTATGGGTTCAAGTGAACCCTGAGATGGGGTCAATGAGTGAGTGAGTGGGGAGTCAACAACAACAACATGCGTTTACCCACTGCCACTCATGTAGGGCAGCATCTCAGAGCGCTTGACGGTGGCGGAGCACAACACCGAGCTGGGGGGAGATGACCCCAGGCGCAACCTGAGGATGAGGAAGGAGTGGGGTGGGGTGGGGGTGAGGGGGAGGCGGAAGGATTGAGGAAGAGTGTTCCAGAGTTTTGGCTCGCGTAGTGGCTGAAAGCGTGGCTACCGCTGATGGAGCGAAGGGTACGAGGGACAAGTAGTGGGTGAGTGGGTGAGCGAAAGAGAGAAATAGAGAGAGAGCAGCCAAGCCAAGCAACGCAAACACACGGCCCAAAACAGAAAAGGCAAAGTATCTTTATCTGATTTTACAGCGGTTTAAGGTGGAAACTGGACGCTATGGTTGGTCAATCGGCCAAGTAACTGGCACATAGCAAAATTAAATTAAAATCTGCGCAACGAGACCTCTATTCACCCAATGTAACCGCAGTGATAAACATCACCTCGAAACGCCAAACAAAATCCTTTCAGTTTCAATGGAAACTGTTCAGACCTTGACACAGCCCTGAGCAGTGTGATTTCAGGGCTTCAACTCCAAACCACTGACGTCCAAGCGTTTAACACGATCTCAGCAAACGGAAATGAGCAAAGATTACTTCCTAAATATCAGGCTCTTTCTGTAGTTGTTCAAACCATATAAACCTCCCCCGCCCTACCCCTCCCCACCCACCCCAAACACACACACGCCTTCCTCTATCTAAACATAAATCAGATTGTCATTACGTTTTTCAGTTACTTTTATGGGGCCCGAAATTTCAATTCCACCCCACATTTCCTCCGTCAACTTTAAGGTGTCGCTGGAAAAGTGTAAAATCGGTGGTGGGGGGCGGGGAGGGGGGGGGGTCCAATCATTTAGCCACTGAGGGCCGGATGCTGAGACCAGGAGGAATTTGGAGCCTCTGGTTGATTGAGGAGTAACTGTTTGAGGAACAAATTGTGTGTGTGTGTTTTTGTGTGCATGTATGTGTGTGTGTACGTGTATGACTGTGTGTGTGTGTGTGTGTGTGTGTGTGTGTGTGTGTGTGTGTGTGTGTGTGAGTGTCGGGAGGGTGGGGGGAAGGGGCAAGGTGAGTGGGAGGGTGGCCTTCAGCTCGGCGTTCCGTATCTGAGCCCTCCATCCCGTGGCGTTCCCGGTTCCTTACATTCGCTGTATCCAATCTTGTTCTCGGACGGACTGATGTGCAGAAGGGTCTCATTGGCCGTTGGGGAGCGGGCGAGGGGGAGGGGATGGGGGATGGTGTGGGGTAGAGAGCCGGGGTCTCGCAGCCCGTTACAGCAGTCGTCGTCCATCCCTCGGGCGTTGGCAGTCAGATGATCACCGCTCCACGTGCTGCCCCCCAGCACTGCCCGGCCCTCCCCCCCCTCCCCAGGCCCCGCCCCGGCCCCCGCCCCGCAGTCGCCCGCAGTTGGGGAAGTGCAGGAGGAACCGAAGCCGAAGCTGAAGCTGAGCCTCGCGGAGCCACCGGTCGGCGTGGGATTGGCGCGGTGTCCTGTCTGGTCACCGGCAAACAGCAGGGAGTGAGAGCAGCGTTTCCTGGTGCCCGTGGGCGGCGGCTTCAACCGCGGGATGGTCTGCGAGTAACTGAGACAGAGAGAGAGAGAGAGACAACAAATTACATTTACACAGTGCCGTTCACATCGGGAGGCCATCCTGAGGCATTGGACAGTCAATGATTTGGACTGTCAGTGGCTGATTGTTACCGGCACATCTCAGCCACACAGAGAAATAGTCATAACTGAAATAATAATACTTTGAGATATGCATTGGATACAGCGCCCTATCACGTTGTCGAGACGTCTCAAAGCGCTTCACAGGATACACTGTAAAGTGAATTGACTGTATATTTTGTGGGTGAAAAGCGGCAGCCAATTGCGCACAGCAGCGTCCCACACAGACAGTCACGGAGTGAGTGACCAATTTAAAAATGTTATTTGTGGGGGAGATTGTCGGCCAGGACACCGGGAGAGAGAGAGAGAGAGAGAGAGAGAGAGAGAGAGAGAAACTCCCTTCTCTTTTCAAATAGCGCCGCAGGAAGGGTCTTTATCGTCCGCCTGAACAGACAGACGGGGAGTGAGGTTTAACGTCTCATCCAAAGGATGGCACCTCTGACAACGCAACACCCCCCAGCGCTGCATTGGAGCGTCAGCTTAGACTGTGTTGATTTCCGGGCTCTGTGTGTCGCTCTCTGTCCCGGTGTGGGCTTGAACCCACAAACTTGCTGGCACATTGAATTAACTGAGGTTATATCTAACATCTCATGGAACTGACGAGACTAAGGACAATGGGAATAATCCTGTCACCTCTCCTCCCATCTAAAGGTCGCTGGGATGTTCCCTCGCGACTCGGGATTCTCCGCGGTCCGAGAGCGTTGTGTCCTGGTCCACCTGCTCGTCTCCCCGTTCATTCCCCCGTGGCTACTGTTTGCCTCTCTCAGGCCGCCGTTAGCCAGCGTGCCGATGTTCCGGAAGGTGCGGCCAGCCGTGCTCCCCGGAGCGGAGAGGCAGATCTCGGAGCCGGGAGTGAGGGTCGAGGCGAGGGTCCCGAGGTGCAGGTTTAACGTGGAGGTCAGTTCGGGGATGGAGCAGGGAGCAGCTGAGGGTAAAATCAACATCGTCACCAGCAGGCAGGACGCTCGCAGGAGAAACATTACACAGAGCGACACCGTGCAAGGATGGGGCACACTACTCCCTCCCTCCCTCCCTCCTTTATTCTCACCCTCCCTCATTCACTCGCTCCATCCCTCACACAATCACTCGAGCAGGGAGGCGGCAAGAGACAGTGAAAAGAGAGGGATGGATTAAGGAAGAGAGGGATAACGAGTGGGGTAAAGAGAGAGGGGGAGAAACGAAGAGATCACGAGAGCGGGAGGAATGCAGGTTCCCGGCAGGACCCTGCGATGGCTGGGGGTTGGTGAGCGGGGTTGAGGGATGGGGTTGGGGGCTTGGGCTGGGCTGGGGGTGAGGGGACGACTGGAGGCGGAGCTGGGGGCGGGGCTCTGGCCGTGGCTGGGGGCGAGACGGGCTGGGGCCGGAGCTGAGGTGGGGTTCGGCTGACGGCGTGGGGGCAGACGGTACCTGTGGCTGGGGGCGGGGTCTCAGGCTGGGGAGGGGGCTCAGATGGGGCGGGGCTGGGGACAGATTTTCCCGAAGGATGGGGGCGGGGGCAGAGTGTACCGGGGGCTCGGGGCGGGGCGGGGGCAGACTGTACCCAGGGCAGGGGCAGGCTGTACCCAGGGCTGGGGGCAGGGCGGGGGCAGACTGTACCCAGGGACTGGGGGCAGGGCGGGGGCAGACTGTACCTGTGACTGGGGGCGGGGGCAGACTGTTCGGGGGCTGGGGGCGGGGCGGGGCGGGGGCAGACTGTACCTGGGGGCCTGGTGACCCTGAGCTGCTGGAGGTGGGTGACCAGGAGGGTGAGGTGCTTCAGTAGCTCCATGTTCTGTAGCGTCAGCTGCTGCACTCGCGCCTGAGCCTCGCGTCGAGCCTCGGTCTCCACCACAACCTGCTCCCTCAGCCACCGCACCTGCCAACCAGAGAGGGGGGGGGGGGTGGGGGGGGAGTGAGCCCTGCCCTGGACACCGCATCCAGACCACCCTCCCAGACCCCAACCCCAACCCAGACTCCTCCCCTTCCCCAGCCGCCCCCACCAGACAGCTCCCCGCCCCTTACCTCCCCCCCCCCCCGACAGCCCCACCCACCCCATCTAGACTGCCCTCTCCCCCACTCAGACACTCACCCCCTACCCCACCCCACCCCTGCCCCATCTTCCCCACCAGACGGTCCTGCCCACCCACTGACGACCCAATCTGTGGGAGGGGACTCACCTGGGCCACGGCGAGCTGGGTTTGGGGCTGGGTTTGGGGCTGGGGCTGGGTTTGGGGCTGAGAACCGGGATCGGGGGACAGCCAGAGCCCAGAGGCCGAGACACAGAACGTGTCACTGACACTGTCCTGAGAGAGAGAGAGAGAGAAGTAAAGGCTGGTGTGATCCATGCAGAAACCCGTCACCGTGCTGTAGAGTCTCCGAATCAAACTGAGAGCTCCACCTGTGTACACCTGCGTATGGCAATTACCCCGTGTTACACACACACACACACAGTGTCTGGAACCTGGTTATTAGCGCTATATCAAATGCAAGGATTATTATTATATTAATAATTTGGTCACTCAACCCACGACTGTTTGGGGGACGTTGCTGTGTGCAATTGGCTGCTGCATTTCTCCCACAAAACACACAGTCACTACAGTTTATGGTATATCCTATGAAGCGCTTTGAGAAGTGATAAGGCGTTATATCAAATGCATGGATTATTATCTTTAATATATTATTAGTAGTATTATAGTATTATATTATGTTATACTATTGTTATAGTTATAATTTTATATTATTATTATGTTACATTATTATTGTTACATTATTATATTACTAGTGTTATGTTATATTATTCTTATTGTTATATTATTATATTATTCTTATTATTGTTACATTATTGTTACATTATTATATTATCGTTATATTATTATATCATTGTTGTTATATTATGTTATTGCTATTACTGTTATATTATTATAATAATATTCATATTATATTTGAGACGTCGAGAAGGCGTGAAAAGCGCCATATCAAATGCAAGGATTATTATTGCTATTTATTATCGTTATATTATTATAGTATTATTACCTGCTGAAGCTGTGGCAGTGCTCGTTGCAGATGCTCCAGGCTGTCAGATGGTGACTCTGCGGTGCCGATGGCTGAGCCGCCCTCCCCGCTGAGCCCCGCATCCCCATTCCCCACCGCTCCCGGACGAGGATACCCTGCGCAGAGAGCACAGCGCGGTCAGGGACGCCGAGCGGCTCGGTTGAGTCTGGCACTGCAGCACAGCGCTGGGGAGGGAAGGCCGCCATGTCAGAGGCGCTGACCTTGGGGGTGAGATGTTGAACCTCACTCCCCGTCTGTACCCTGTTCTGGTGCACGTTAAAGATCCCGCGGCGCTGTTGGAAAAGAGAAGGGAGTTTCTCTCCCCCAGTGTCTTGGCCGACAATAAATCAATCACACTGATCGGTCGGTCATGCCTCTGAGAGAGCGAGAGAGAGAGCGAGAGAGAGAGAGACGCTGTGGATTAACCTCCGTCTGCGCTGTAAAAGTCTATGATTCTGTGGCTGTCTGCGGGACATTGCTGTTTGCCCACAAACGCACAGTCACTACGTCCCACCGCACGGGGTCTCGCGGGGCGACTGGCTGCTGGTACCGTCTGCTCGCCACTCCTCAGACCGCCGGTCGCTGGCTCCGTCCGCCTGTCCGTCCACCTCTCTGTCCGCCGTCTCCTCCGCACGCTGCAGGCTCAGCTTGTGGCACACCTCGAAGGCCTGTCCGACTGTCCGCACTATACGCATGGCCTGACTCTAACACAGACAGCAACACAGAGGGAGACACAGAGGGCGACACACAGAGGGCGAGACACAGAGAGCGAGACAGAGAGAGCGACACAGAGAGGGCGACACAGAGAGAGTGAGACAGAGTGAGCGACACATAGAGATCGACACACAGAGAGTGAGACAGAGTGAGACAGAGAGCGACACAGAGAGGGCGACATAGAGAGAGTGAGACAGAGAGCGACACATAGAGAGCGACACACACAGAGGAGTGAGACACAGAGAGTGACACACAGAGAGTGAGACAGAGAGCGACACATAGAGAGCGACACATAGAGAGTGACACACAGAGGGCGACACACAGAGGGCCACACACGGGATGAGACATAGAGAGACACACAGAGGGCGACACACGGGAGTGAGGCGCCAACCTTTTTCTTTGTTTTGAAGACGTTACATCGGAAGGTGTTGCTGACGCCGTCCCTGGCGATGTAGCTGAATATCTTCAGATCCTGCGAGTCATGCGATACATAGAATATTCTAGAAGAAGTGACGCATAAAATTGAGGAGACGCGCATCACGATTTGCAGCCGAATCTGACGGGAGGTGTGAACAGGCGTCGCACCAGACCCCGCCCCTACCAAGGCTCCTCCCCCACTCTCACTGACTCCACCCACCCCTCACAAGGCCACACCCCTCTTGCACAGGCCACGCCCCACCTCCCACAGGCCCCTCCTCCCACGACAGCTGTTACTCAAACGCGTCCCCGTGCGCTCGGCTCCACACCCCTCCGTGGCCACACGTTCCTGTCGTTACGTCCCCTCAGTGTGAAGACGTACTTCCTGGTGTCCGTCCTGAAATTTTCTCGCGCTTTCACCCTGCGCCCCCTCGTCTCGCCTCGTTGCTGATAGTGCCTTGTCTGAGGGTCTTGCCCCGTTCTGAGGGGAGGGGGTGGGGGGAAGGAAGTAGGGGGGAAGCATGTACCTGTACACGGGGTCATGCATCACCAGCAATTTACTCTCATCCCATGTCCATTCCTTCCTCTGTAACAAGACACACAGCGCTGAGTGAATAAATACACGTTACGAGCGCGCAGTATGTGTGTGTGTGTGTGTATGTGTGTGTAGTGAATGTGTGAGAGCGTGCGCGAGTGTAGGAGGTGTGTGCGTATTATATAGCAGACCGGGAAGCAACAAAAACAGTCACTACCCTACGCACAATAATTTCAGTAATTTTGAGACGTTTGAATCCAACACTGCGTTGTGAAGAAAATAGGCTCTCTTAATAATAAGCGCTCCGAGACGCTACCCTGCGTGAGGGGCGCGATATAAATGCAAGTTGTTGTTGTTGTGGCAGTGACCTTTGATGCAGCGATGAGACCTGCCTTCTGCTTCTTCCTGAGTGTGACCCTGACTCCATCCACAGACACCGTCATGTTCACCTTCCGCTTCTTAATGTTCTTGGCTTTGAACTCGTACTGAAACACAGAGAGAGAGACAGAGAGAGAGAGAGAGAGCAGTCACGTCCCAGCCTGGTGCCACCGCAAGATATAAGAGATCGAGCAGCAACAAAAACAGTCACTACACTAGACAATAATTACTTATGAGACATGTGGGTCCAAAACTGTGATGTGAAGAAAGAAACCTCTCTTAATAATAATAATAAACAAACAATCCTTGCACTTGACGCAGCGCCTTATCACATCGTCGAGATGTCCCAAAGCGCTTCACAGGATATACTGTAAACTGGAGTGACTGTGTATTTTGAGGGCGAAACCATGGCTGTTTTGGGAAGTGCTTTGGACGTCTCGAAGATTTGCTAAGGCGCTATATCAAATGCAAGGATTTCAGCGCCTTGGGACGTCCTCCTGACATGAAACACCCTTTACAAATGTAATTTTGTTCTTGTTATTATAAATAGCGGCTGAGTGTCCTTTAGATGCAGTCACCGGTTTTGACGTTAATACATTGCGAAGCGCTCAGAGACGTCACCTTGTGTGAAGCGTGCTATGTAAACATAGGTTGTGGTTGTACCATGAGAGTCCCTCAAGCCACAGCCGCCACCCACTTCCCCAACAGGGTGGTCCTGCATCGCCCTACCATCGGTGGCCGGGCTTTCAGCCTCTCAGCCCCGAGGCTCTGGAACTCTATCCCCCAGTGCCTTCGCCGCTTCCTCCCTTTCCTCCTTCAAGGCCGGTCTCAAGACCTTTCTCTTTGACCGTGCCTTCAGCTCCCCTCTCGACTCTCTACCCCCTCCTCGCTCCCTCCCTTCCCTCCCCTCACCCTGACCATTTCCCCCCCTGCTCGGGTCCCGACCCAACTGTCCAGTGCCTTGGGACGTCCTCCCGACGTGAAAAGCGCTCTATAAATGCAATCTTGTTGTTGTTGTTGTTGCAGTACCAGGTGGAGGCCCTCGGTGAGCCGTAACAATGGCAGCCACATTATGCCACTGACTCACGTCAAGGTCAGGGCGAGGATGTTAAAGTCAATCCTCTGGGGACGGCATTAACCTCCCATTGGAGTCACTTCCTTCCTCCCAACCCAACCCGTCTCTCTCTCTCGCACAAACACACGCACACCAAGTTCCCTCTGTACAGTGCAGCCAGCCCAGGGCTTGAGCTAAGAACCATCTGTTGAGTGGACAAATGGTCCCAGTATATTATTAATTATCAATCGACCAGAGAGAGGTGGAGGAGTGGGGTGGCAGGATGGGGGGGGGGAGGGCTGAAAGATGACGGCATTGAGGGAGAGAAATCCCGAGTTCCTCTCTGCACCTGTTCAGGTGGACGTTAAAGATCCCGATGCGCTATTGGAAAAGAGAAGGGATTCTCTCTCTCCTGGTGTCCTGGCTGACAATCCCCCAGATAAAATTGATCATTCATTTACTTACTTCATGGTCGTAGCTGTCATGTTTTGTCTACAAAAACAGTCACTACTCTAGACAATAATTACTTAGGAACAACAACAACTTGGATTTATATAGCACCCTCCACGCCGGATGGCATCTCAAAGCGCTATACAGTAGCTATACAGTAACGGATCCCGAGAGCGAGCCGGGGGGAGGGGGGGGGAAGGTGACCAAAGGCGCGGTTGAAAAGAAAGGTCTTCAGCAGAGACTTGAAAATGGACCTGAAAATGGGAAGAGAGGGGGCGATACGAAGGGAGTGAGGAAGGGAGTTCCAGAGCCTCGGGGCATAGTGGCTGAAGGCTCGGCCGCTGAGGGTGGAGCGGAGGACTCGGGGGACGAGGAGGAGGCCAGGCCCGGAGGAACGAAGGCAACGGGTACTGTTTTGGGGAGAGAGGAGGTCAGTGAGGTCGGGGGGTGCAGAGGAGTGCAGGGACTTGAATACAAGGGTGAGGATCTTGAAGTGGATCCTCTCTGGGATAGGCAGCAGTGCAGTCTGGCCAGGACTGGGGTGATCGGAGAGCGGAGTTTCGTGCGGGTGAGAATGCGGGCGGCAGAGTTTTGAATGATTTGGATTTTATGGATGGTAGTGGATGGGAGACCGGCGAGGAGGGCGTTAGAGTCCAGCCGAGAGGTGACAAAGGCATGGACCAGGGTTTCAGGGGCTTTTGGGGAGAGGTATTGGTGGAGAGAGCGATGCGTCGGGGGTGGAAGAAAGCAGCGCTGGTGAGGGACCGGATGTGGGGGAGGAAGGATAATTGGGGGTCGAACCTGACGCCTGGGTTGCGTACGGGTTCGGAGAGTTTTAGGGGGAGGTCGGGTAGGTGGAGGAGGTGAGAGCCATGAGATTTTAGACATTGACGAGAGCCAAAGAGTATGGCTTCCATCTTATCAACGTTCAGCTGAAGGAAATTTGCGCTCATCCAGCCCCTGAGATCTGACAGACAGAACATCAGGGGATTGGGGGTCGCAAAGAGAGGTGGAAAAATAGAGTTGGGTATCGTCTGCATACATGTGGAAGTCTACCCTATGACATCCCTCCAAGAGGGAGCATACAGATCAGAAAGAGGAGGGGGCCAAGGATGAATCCTTGCGGAACCCCGCAGGTGACCGGGTGAGAGCGGGAGAGAAGCCGTTTGTGCAGATGTACTGCTGGCGGTTTGTGAGTTTGGATCCAGCACAATGCTTGAAGAAAAATGCTCTCTTATAATAATAATAATAATAATCCTTGCATTTGATATAGCACCTGATTATGTCATTGAGACGTCTCAAAGTGCTTCACAGAATGGATCGAATGTGAAGTGGATTGACTGTGTACTTTGTGGGCGAAATTGTGCCATTCAGCCCCTCGAGCCTGTTCCGCCATTCTATTAGATTATGGTTAATCTGTACCTCAAATCCATTTCCCCTCCTTTGCTCCGTATGCCCTGATAACTTTACCTAACAGACATCTATCAACCTCAGTCTTGAACATTTCAGTTGATGCAGTATCTCTCCTTTCCTTTCCACAAACTACCCTTTGTTTGAAAATTCTTAAAACTCGGCCTCCGTTGACAAATTTTCCACAACTCAGCGCAATCTTAAAATTGACAAGAGAAAGAAACACAGAGATACAGACAAATGCTGAGACACAGACGGACACACAGAGGCAGACACACAGACAGAGACAGACAGCGACACAGAGATACAGACAAATGAGGAGACACAGACAGACACACAGAGGCAGACACACAGACGGAGACAGACAGACAGCGACACAGAGATCCAGACAAATGCGGAGACACAGACAGACACATAGAGGCAGACGCACAGACAGAGAGCGACACAGAGATACAGACAAATGCTGAGACACAGACGGACACACAGAGGCAGACACACAGATAGAGACAGACCTCAAAGCCCCTTCCACACACATACACATACATATACACACACACAGACGCACTCATTGCTTCAGTAAGCAATCAGTCAGTCAGTGCCTGGATATATGCCCTCTCTGATATATGTCCTCTCGGATAAGGGAGGGTTTATTGTACAGAGAGAGAGAAACACACACACACACACACACTAATTAATGCACTGACTTGACAACTCACCCGAATTCTCCGCATGGCTGATACTATCTCCATTCGACTGGTTGGCCTCTGTACATCCAA